GGGAAAGTGGTTTTGAAGGGTGATTTGGTTCTGCAAAATGACTGAAAATGCTCCTGGTGCCAACAGCCCCGTGCTGGCACCTGCCCAGGGCTTTGGCACTGCCCTGTGTGTGGTCTGGGGCTTGGTCCCCAAGGTGTGTAGGGGGGACAGCTCTGTCCCCCTGTGCACTCAGCCTGGGGTGCAGGCTCCATCCCCGTGGAGCCATCCCCCCCTCCCTTTGTGTTGATGTCAGAGGGTGTTGGAAAGAGCTGGATGGCTTTGAACTGCCCCCGGGCCATCCTCCCCCAGCAGTGAGGTCACCCCCAGGTTGTGTCCCCCTGTGGTCACTGGTTTGCAAGTTGGTGCTTCGTTTTCCTTTAAAAAAAGTAATAATTAAAAGCTAAAAAGAAAAAAAAAAGAGGACCTGCATGTCCCGGAGGGCTGGAGTCAGAGCTCTCCACTTGACACCAAAGTATGTAGCAGAATATGTACAGCTGTTAATAACTACAACTGGTTTTTGTAAAAAACAGAGAAGAAAAAAAAAAAAAAGAGAAAAAAAAAGGAAAAAAAAAAGAATAAAAAAGTAAATGTAATGAAGCTCAACTGAAAGCAAAGTGTCTATAAACCATTTGGTCTCTGAACTGAGTTGTTCATGACTGCAAGCGAGGGGCTGCTCCTGTGTGCTGGGGCTGGGGGCACAGGGTGTCCCTGCCCCAGGGTCCCCCCTGCCCTGGGCAGGACAGCAGGGCTCAGCTGGGGCAGGAGCTGAGCGTGGGACCCCTGGGAGCAGCTGCCTGCAGCCCTCCCCCTCAGCTTCTCCCCTTCCTGGGGGGCTGCTGTGGAGTCCCCCAGGGACCCACTGCCACGGGCTGTGCTCCTTCCTCTGTGGACGTCCCCCCCCCCTGTTGTCCCTGGACACCCTGCACCCCAGAATGTCTTTTTTCTTCCCCAGGGCCTCACCTGGCTGCTTTGTTTCAGCTCCTGCAAGCTGGCAGTGAGGGCTTGGGGATGGTGAAAGGGCTTGAGCAGGGAACCTGGGGGTGCCCAGGTGGGAGTGGGATGCTCAGGGATGGGGTCTGGTGGCTCCCAACCCACGGGAGACGGGTTCTAACGTTCCTGTGCTCTCATCCTGGCTGCCCCTGACAGAGACAAAGCTCTTCCCTTGAACTAGGACATATGTACCGTCCTACGGGGGCTCCCTGTGATGTATTGAACATGACAGAGCCTGCTGCGAGGGAGAAATAAAAAGCAGGAGCAGCACTCTTGTAACTGCTCGGCTTCCCGGTAATGTACAGCGGGAAATGGTTCCGAGTGCATTTAAATCTGATTTTAAGCTGGGTGGAATGAGGGGCTTACACAGGGGACCATTAAAAGATAAAAATGGCAAGAAATCCTTTGTTGGAAGGTTTCAGAGAGCAGGGGAGTGGAAGGGCCCGGCAGCCCCCCCTGGCACCACCCCCAGCTCTGCCCCCTCGGGCACCGCATCCGCTGAGGTCCTGCTGTCAACAGTTCCCAGCAAACTGTTGCCCTTTGCAATTAATTAGGTTTGACGACAACCTTTCCCCGGGTGCTGATGGAGGAGGTGTTGGAGCCCCACGCAGGTTCTCCCAGGCCCGTTTCCGCTCTCAGCCCTGCTGTGGGGTTACAGTGTCCTGAGCCCCACACGCTCATCTTTGTTTGAATTCTGTATTCATAAGGGCTTTTTTTTTGGTTTTGTTTTCCAACATGCTTTTAGCCCAGCCTTGCCAATGCTGCGGTGACACAGCAGGAGGGGCAGGCAGGGACCTGGGGCACCTGCAGGGCAGAGGGGGTGAGTGTTGCAGTGGAGCACCCGGCTGCACCCCAGGGTTTGCCCAGCCCAGGAGGTCACAGCCCAGCACGCTCAGCCAGCAGTGCCTTTTGGGGGCATTGCCCACTTTTTGGCAGTGATTTCCTTCCATGAGCATCATGCTGCTGTGCTGGGTCCCAGCAGCTGCTGAGCATTGAAACTGAGCCCTTACCCTTTGGGTGCACCTTGTAACCCTTAGTACCCTTTGGGGTGCCATTACCCTTTGGACGCACCCTACAGCCCTTATTACCTTTTGGGTGCACCCCATAACTGTTACCCTTGGGGTGCCCTTACCCTTTGGGCTCCCCCTGCCATGGCTTGGGCTGGTTTCCCACGCTGGTGCTGGTCCTGGAGTCCGAGGCCAGAGGTGGTGCTAAGGGTACAGTGGTTGGGTGCTTTGGCACCCCCAGGGTGGGCCCCTCTTGGGGCAGCTGCCAGCCCAAGCTGTGCTTTGGGTGACCCAGAATTCCCATGCTTGGGTGTCCCTAGCAGCAGAGATGGAGGAGAGTGACCCCCATGAGTGCCAGCCCCACCTGGCCCAGCAGCTGCTCCCACCCTGTGGCCCCTCGGTGGGCAGCGCTGCAGGAGGAGCAGAGCCTTGCCATGCCCTGCCAGAGGGCACAACACGCCCACTCCTACCCCCTTCCCACCTACCACTGACATGGTCACTGGCACCCAGTGTCACCTCACCCAGCGCCCCCTCCCCAGCCCCCGGTGCCCCCCCTCGCCGCCGGCGCAGGAGCAGATGGCGGAGGCGGCTCGGGGACACCATCAGCTGTTGTTATCACTAGCTGATGACACGGAGTGTAAATTCTGTTGGCACTGCTCCCTTCGTCTGTTCTGCCTCTGCATCCCACCAGTTTTAATTACTGTAATTGAGTTATAATGAATGATTGTGCATTAGCATTGTCTGTAATGTGGCAGGGAGCATTCTGCTCCTTACGCACTCCAGCTAACAACGTGCCCCTCCTCGTTGCTTTGTTTATCAGCTTGAAGGGTGTCATCACTCCAAATGGCAGAGATAAAACAGTACTCAGAGTGTCTGCCTGGCGATGGTTATCGTTTTTCTCTTCTCAGGCACTGGTGCTTCACTGAATCCCAGTGGAAAACTGCAGAAACAGATAAAAACTAATTTGGCTTGGAAAAAAAAATACCCAACACAGCACAAACCCGACACAAAAAACACAAACACCACGACAGCATAAAAACCCTGCAGTGCTTTGGCTGGCTGGAAAAATCCTTAGCCTGTGTTGACACACACTGCCCATGGCAAGGAGGGGTGCCCAGAGCCTCCCCCAGAGGAGTGCCAGCCTGTCCCTTCTGCAGGTGACAGGGGAAGGTGAGCTGAGAAGGTGCCTGGCCCCACTCTGCCCACAACCACAGTGCTGGCAGCTGCCCTCACTGCTGGGGACAGGCTGCTCCTGCAGTGCTAGCATGAGAAAGCATCATGGTCCCCACCTGGGGCCAGCCCAAGGCCAGTCCATGGG